TATCCAAGCCTTGAAATATTTCAGTGTTGTTACTGGCAGGCTCAAAATCAATAAAAAATGACGGCAATGGGTATTTTTCCGTTGATGTAATGCGCAGGATATATGCCAACAATTGGGACCAATTTCTTCAAAGTCTGTTTTAATAATTGAGATAGGGGTGGTTGAGTGTAAATCTCTCAAAACCATTCGATATGCCTTTTCGTGTCTTAACTGGTAACTGAAAATCGTAATTATTAGCAGTGGAGTGGTTTATTAGTATTTTATAATTTTCTTTGGAATTTGTATTTATTTTGATGTCGGTGACTCTGGAAAAACATCGAATGTTTGTTTGTCCGAACAGATTAGCACTTTATTGAATACGTGAGAAGAAATTATCGATTTTAGAAACGGAAATCGGTTGCGATTCGGGGTCAGAAAATGCTTGAGGCTTCCAAGACTTTTTTGTTGAGTTATTATCGGGGACAGAATTCTCGCTAGTTGTGGTGATTGGTGGAGTTAGTTCTAGTTTTGTAGCATTTGTTTTGCTTCAGGTTTGAGGTGATGGTTTATTTTGCTTGACTGACTGTTTTGCTTTAGTCGATTTATTTTGCTCATTTAACTGTTTGGGTTTCGTCTATTTTTTTTTCTTGTTAGTTGAGTTGCTCCCCGGCCCAGGGAGTTTCGGTGACCCTATTTAAGTGGACGACTTTTTAAATATTGCGATTCAGTTTCGCTTATTTCAGAAAAGGGCTTTTTGTCTTCTGAATCTTCACTTGAAGTGTTCTTACCCACATTCATATTGTCCATAATTATGATAAGAGGAAAAAAAAATTATAAAAAAATACACAAACAATTAAAGGAAGGAGATGGTCCGGGGTGGTGGTCATAAATAGACTGAATAGTGGCGAAACTATTTTATTAAAAGCCAAAGTTTCGACCCGACTTTGCAGGTCTTCTTCGGGGCTAGAACGGACAAGATACAAAAAAATAAAGAATTGTGGAAGTTACATAATATTATGACAAAAAAAAAATATAAACAATGTGAATCAGCTTATTAAAATTATAAATAGTAAGTACATTAAAATATAAGCAGAGTAAGTTAAGTAACAAAATCCTAAACTATAAAAATCAGCCATAATAATCCTCATGACATTAATAACCTACAACTTCCGAGCACCCCGCTTATATGGACTCCCAAAAATTCACAAACCTGGAAATCCCCTCCGCCCTATCATCTCCAATATTAACGCCCCCTCAGCTAAACTCAGCAAATTCCTTTTACCCTCTCTCCAAAAACTTAGTCACAATAATCCTTATGACATTAATAATTCATTCCACCTTAAAGAAGAGTTATCTTCTCTCCATATTCCTGACAACTTTATCCTTGTTTCCCTAGACGCCGAAAGCCTATTTACCAACATCCCAATAGACAAGGCCCTCCATTGTGCAGAAAAACAACTGGACAATCATCGAACCTCACACCACCCTCAACCTCTTCTCATACCTTGAATCCCTTGAACTTTGTTGCAGATCCGGATACCTCACCTTCCAAGGAAAATGCTTTAATTAGATTTCAGGCCTAGCCATGGGAAATTCTTTAGCACCACATATTTCTAATATTATTCTCAATGACCTTCTTGACTCTGTTATCCCTTCTTTTCATCAAGACATCATTTTCACCAAGAAATATGTCGGTGACCTTCTCCTTCTTCTTAACCCTGACAACATCCCTCAAATTCTTTCCTCATTCAAATCTTATCACCCCCGTCTCCGTTTCATTATAGAGAAAGACGATAATAGTTCACTCCCCTTCTTAGACCTCCTAATAATAAAAAACACTGACGGCTATGTTTCTATACCCACGTACCCAGGCAGACTACTCAACTTTTATTCTCAACACCCATATCACCAAAAAATAAATACAGCCAAAAACCTGATTCACCGATCACTCTTTATCTGATCCACAATCCCATAGCCAACACTCAGCGCGTCAAAAATATACTCCTTTCCAATAATTTCCCTCTCAACACCATACTTCAACTTCTAAACTGCTATACAACCAAAAAGAGTACAACCTCCCCTTCTCCCAACTCCCCACAATCACCTACCACTCCTTTCATATACAAATCTCTCCCCTATATTCCTATTCTCTCAGATAATATACAAAAATTCCTTAAATCGACTATAACCAACTTACGTCTTGGTCTTAAGTCCCATAACAAACTTTCTTTCCTTTACACCAACTTGAAAGACTCCATACTTTTACAACACCGATCTAATGTAGTTTACCGGATACCTTGCTCTACTCCTAATTGTAATAACTCCTATATTGGCTGAAACCAAAAACCATCTCAAAACCCGCATTTCCCAACATAAAACATCCATAACTTCCCGGAACCCTTCCGCCTCCAAACTATCAGAACATGCCTTAACCCTCAACCATTCATTTGATTTTGAAAAAACCTCTATCCTTGCCACGGTCCCTAACCATGAAAAAAGACTCATTTCCGAATCCATCCACATTCACATGGAACAGAATCCTGTTAATCATAAAGTAGATAAAAACTGCATTTCTTTAACATATAGACACATTTTAAATCTTATAAGTGAAAAATAACTTATATATTACATCTTATTATTTTTATCTACTTTCAATTTTTATTGATTAATTCAATTTAATTGTTCATTATTCTAAGTATTTCCGCTTTGTATGATCTCTCTTTTTATTTTATTTTAATTTTATATTTACATTCTACATCAATGTATGATCATCCGTTTTCACTTTGTATTCATTTTACTTTTTAACCATATCTCAATATTATCTAATATTTAAATGTAATTTTCTTACATATGTACAACCAAATATAATTATAATTATTCATATTTTTTCCCCTCTCTATACTTCTAAGTTAGTTCTGCAATGTATGGTATCTTATTTCTATATTTATTTTTTACTTCTATGTACATTTTACTTCTTCCATTTTTGTTTTTATTCACACTGTACTCTTATCTATAATCTCTTAATTCTATTTTATATGTATATGTATATATTTATAATTTAATATTTCATAGATATAGTATTTTTTCCCTTGTATCCATCCATATCTTCAAATTTTAGATACTGTAATTTTCTAGGTTTTTCCCCATTACCCAAACAAGTCAGCAAATTCCCAATACCTGCCCTTACCCTGATTTTCCAGTTCTAAGTGAAACTCCTAGCTGAACACACCTGTAAGTCTCTATTTTTATTCTTCTATTTTATTTACTTTATTTATTTTGGTTTTCTTTTTTCTTTTCTTTCTCCACATTCCTTTATGTCTATTATTTCATATTATATCCTTTTTCCTTTTCTTTCAATCTCTCCTGTAGATCTGTAGAAGTATATTCACATTTGCATATATTATATATTACACTACAACAATTGTTACCATCTATTTACTTCAGTTTAGGATCTTGTTACTTAGCTTACTCTGTTTATATTTTAATGTACTTACTGTTTATAATTTTAATAAGCTTATTCACATTGTTTATAATTTTTTGTCTAAATATTATGTAACTTCCACAATTCTCTATCTTTTTGTATCTTGTCCGTTCTAGCCCTGAAGAAGACCTGCAAAGTCGGGTCGAAACGTTGGCTTTTAATAAAATAGTTTTGCCACTATTTAGCCTATTTATGACCGCCACCCCGGCCCATCTCCTTCCTTTATAATGCAACGGTCAAATATTAAATATTCAATACAAAAAATTAAAGATAAAGTAATACAGCCTCGGAAAAAGAAACAAAAAAAGGTTTGGATTCAAACTCGAACTCGATCGTGGATGATCAGACGACAAGGATGTAAACAAACGCCTGACCGTGACCTTAACGGAGGTAAGATAAGACCCGCTAGGGAATTACCAGCCATTTAGCTAACCAAATGAGCACCAATTTATAAATCGTTCATTGTTAATAAATAGCCACTCACCTGAATATCCATGAACAAGGAAATGTACAACTGTTTAAAACGTCACTATTGATCAAGTCTTACACAAGAATTGTGAATATTAAGCACATTACTAAGTAACAAACAAAGAGCGAAATGAAAGCTAAACTTCAGATAGCTACATCACTAATACATGTTAAATTTATTACCGAAAAGTATTACTGAATTAACTTTTATTACTATGATTACATGATTTTTACTATAATAGAGGTCATCTTAAACGTCCTTGAATATAATAACATAGGGTGTAAACAAATAAATAAGGAATAAAAAATAAATTACATTATTTTTTTGGAGAATTAAATTATTGTATTAATATTTGTTCGTTAATTCAATCAAAATCATGTACTTAAAACGTTATTATAGCAATATAATCATGCTATTTATGAGTACTAAACGAAATGGTATAGGAATGCAGGCGCCTACGCCTATGCCACTTTTTCGCCGATTAAGTGCATCTTCTAAAGAACTGTTTAAAATATTTAATAAAAATAATCAGTGATTTAGAATGATAAACGTACTCTCTTGATGTTTTATTTCTGTGCGCTTTTCGTTATTGTTGGCCGTTTAATTACAAACGACGCTAGATTTGCAATAAGATTTTTTTTAAATTGATTTTACTGGTATTTTTAACTGTTAATACTTACTGCTGAATCTCAGTGACAGAAAAACAAACTAAAGTCGAAGTCCTCAATCCGCTATGTTTGGACGCCATGTTGGGACAGTGCGTTCACTTCTTTTATGTAGGAAGATTGGCTTTTTAAAATTAAAATTTACTATGAACCAACGATATGTATAGGGTTGTGGAGGGGAGAAGGATGCACGGTAAGGGAGTCTGGCCCACGGACAAATAAATAAGTGTGGAACCTGTGAAAATGGTGTGTAAGCTATAATGGCCTCACTTTGCAGAAGTTTTTTATTTATTTTTGGATGAATAAAGGAATGATTGAATTTGTAATGTACAAAATATGAATTTTTGAAGATATGTTATTGAGTATAACAGCTATAATGATTAATTTAGTTTATTTAGTAGTTCACCTTCATGATGGGAGCAATAATGGGCATTACTACAGTCACGTGTACGCCAAGCCGATGCCCATGGTAGGATAGCGCTAGTGCGTGGTTCCCCAAGGAGGCTGAAATTACGCCGTATTTTCGTTGTTCCTCTGACAGCATCATTAATGCGTAGCAAGCACCTCTTTCCTTGAAGCTGTAATCCACAATTGTAATATTATTGAAAATATTCTTACTCAAAGCTCTTCAACGTACAACATATAACATCACAGTAATTGTTTAAAGGAGCCTTACAGTATTTTAGTGTCATTAATAAAATATATCATTCACAAACATAAAAAATAATTACTTTTTCGTTGGTCTGTATTTGTTGCTGTAATCTGAGCAAAATTCTTAAACAATCACAATATAATTTATTTTAAAATCATAAAACATGTACTTCTGGTATTATATGTAAGAATATACTACAAAAACAAAATTTAAATTATCCTTATAAACATAATTGTTCCTGTAATTTCTCTTTATTTTATTTTTTTACTTTTAATAGACCTTCAACGACCAATCGACATCGATTCATACAGGTTTTTTTCTCCTTCAGAGTAATTACCGTAATATACGTAAAAAAAAAAAAAAAAAAAATCTTGATCCACTACTGCTGTCTTCCGAAGGTTGTTTTATAATTTCATATAAAAAATGACTTACGAGGTGAATGCGGTTTATTTTTAATATTAGTCCAACTGAAATTATTAATGGGATAAAATATAATATAATCTAGTTGATACCAAGCGAGTAAAAACTATAACTGAGGAATTTTATCTATTGTTTTTTCTAAATACACTGTAGAAAATTTATGAATAATAATAACATTGAAAAAAATTTTAAGCCGAAAAAAGGATTAACATTTTTCTTAATATATAATATACAAGTATAATATAGAATGATTGGATATTTTTAAAAATCACTATTGCTATATTTTATAATATTATTGTACAAATTATTATGTTTGTTAATAGAATTGTTTATCATTGATTTAGGATTAAAGATATTACCTGAAATTTTGAATATATGTTATATGATATAATTTAAAAATAGTGGCTAGAAATGTTTATATATTTATGGACAAGATTATACTACGTTAATGATTTTGAATCAAAGACGGTTTGATTAAAATTTATGATATTAATCACTGGTTATAGATTTTTTATATATCCATCCGTAAGTACTTCACTGTTATTTCGTACTATTATTACAGATAATGGGCCAATGACACATGTATTCAACGGACAAACCATTAAGCTATCGATATCTTTAATCACAGGCGGATCTACGGGGGGGGGGGGGGCTTTCGGGCTGAAGCCCCCCTCTCCCCCCAAATAGTAAAATGTAACCATGTCCATGATAAAAAATAATCTCTCAAAGTATTATTGTTATTGTAATTACATTTAATAATAAGACTTCACGAATCACTTAAATACCATTTCATATAGGTAGTTAGTTTTTTTTTTTTTCCCCAAAGTAATTATAGTTATATATATATAGAAAAAGCTTTCGGGCTGAAGCCCCTCCCAAAATTAAATCCTGGATCGGCTAGTGTCTTTAATCAATAGATATCGTCTTCATCAGCTAGATATCGGTTCTCCAAGTCTTGCTGTCCAAACAAGGTGCATTTTGGGTGAAATTTGGAGGCCAAAACGTCAGTTTTTGAGGTCCCACTCAACGGAATGGTAAACAACTTTAGTTTATATAAAAGTTGAATTACTTCCAGTATGTTACAGTGTTGGGCAATTACTCTAGTAAATGAGTAATAATTAATGAATAATTAAATTAATTCAATGGTCATGAGTGTGATTAAATTACTCATTACTCTTATGGTAATGAGTGATCACTCTTAATTGTTTAACCATGCGTAAATCACTCATCACTCATTTTATCACAATAAGTATAACAAACAAAGTTATTAAAACAAACAAATAAATATATATATATTTTTTAAACAAAGAAATATAAACTTCTTATTCGGGGAAAAATAATAAAATAAGTATAATAAAATGAAATAAATTTAACAATGGTATACAATAATAGAAAAACGTAATGGGTAATTTAATTGTACTCATTACTCATGATCATTGAATTAATTTAATTACTCATTTATTCGAGTAGTTGCCCAACACTGGTCTGTTATTAGTCTTTGTGGAAATAGTCCTAATCGGGTGTGTTTTCAAAACTAACGAACTTAAACATGCAATTTCTAATATAATTGTTTCATCAAAACCGTCTTATTATGAGATACGATGATGTCCTTGGAAGCGATCAAGATGACATTGAGAGCGCCGCGGAGACTCTGATAACAGAAGCAGAGCAAATCGGCCTAGAAGTAAATGAAGATAAAACAAAATGTGTGATAGTAAGCTGAATATTCAACCCCAATAACAGTATCTACATTCAGAAAAGAATCAAAATCAGCACCTCTAGTAACAGAGGTGCTTTATCTAATCTTTACCGAGAGTAGAAAAAATCACAAAACCTCGGCTTCACAATGACCCCAATGAATGACCAATGGTTGGAAATAGTCGAACATATAACAAGCGAAAACAGACCTTTCCAAAATATTGAAATCTCCAATCAAGAGTTTAAAATGCTATGATAAAACCAGATCTGGCTGTAAGACCTGGACACTGCCCAGAGCCTATGAGAATAATTAATTTTAGCTAATTAATAAAGCAACTGAATTAGAGACATATTGAATAAAATACAATTCAAATATTATTTAATACAAAAAAACTTAAAAAATAAATTTGGGGGTGCGAAATGTTCAATAACTGAATCCTAAGAAAGGTTGAACAGTATTCAAAGCTATATATAGAATTATTACTATATATTATTATTATTATTATTGCTATATATATGTATATATATATATAAGTTAAGCGTCGTCGGACTTGAAAAATAAAAAAAAAGAAGGAAAAGGGGTAGAGATGCAACACACACGGCTTCTGAAATAACACTGCTTTATTCGTTCCATAAGCCTCCTTATATACACTTAGTATGTTTATTTACATTGCAGGATGGTATTAAGGCTGATACCGCCAGTCTCCGGTCTTTATCTTATATATATATATATATATATATATATATATATATATATAATGTTGTAAATTCGTTCAAAAATTTTAGTTATTAAATATAAAAAGATTATAGTACTTGCATGCATATAATAATATTTTGCATATAATATTAACATATAATATTTTAATAATTATAATTAATTTTCAACTTCACTCTGAGATTCACTTTCTGAACTCATAATTCTCGTTTTCTCCGATTTAGTATTTTTTTAACAAAACTGTTAAGATCACCAACTTGATATGATAGGAACGGAATTTATTAACGAATTGTTAAATATGTATTTGCTATTTTTGATCACAGACTAGACAGGTATATTGGTACAGGTAAAGTCGAAACTGCCGACTCATAATATGCAACTTTTTCTTTGTCTATCTAAATTAAAACACTATATTTATTGAAATATTAAGGATATTTTATAACATAATAAATAAGTTTTTTCTTACATTCCTTTGTTTAAAGCAAATATTCTACAAATAAAATATCTTTTATTAATGTGTCTCTAACCAAATAATTTCTATTTATAAGTGAAAGTTAAAATCCAAAATCCTTCGTAAAATCCTCAATGCTCCTTACTTTGTCACAAATAAAATCATCCATGAAGAGCTTAATGTTCCATATGTTTCCGATTTGGCCCAATCCAGATACCTATCCTTCCATAACAAACTGCAGAACCATCCGAACCCTCTCGTTTCAAACCTTGCTTCCTCCTCGATCCCTGATAACCTTCCGAGGCGTCTGAAAAGAAGATGGCCTCGAGACCTTCTAATATAGATCTTTAATTTGACTTCTACCAATGGGTAGTTTCTCTTCATGTTGTACATGTCATGTTACCAATGTCACATTTACTTGTTGTATTTTTAATGTAATACAGTTGTAAATTTCATTAAAATAAAAATAAAATACAAAAATTAGTGAAATAAATATTGTAATTTCGTCATTACCTATACATTGTTTCTGATTCTTATTTCATAGATTCTTATTCATATCATAGAATAGTTCAGACATACCATTATTTATATTACCAATTTCAAAAAAACATTTTTTATTATAATTTAAATGTAAAATAATATAAACAGTGCCGGCCTTAGATATTTGACGCCCCCGGGCAATTACGTCCATCCTCCCCTCCCTAAAAAAAAATTAATTTATTTCTTCAGCTGATTTATACTATTTAATATTTGAATTGCATTAAAATAATAAATATAATCATTTGATCGAGACAATGAAATTGTTCAAAAACTATTTTATTGTACTTGTGAAGAAGTTTAATATAAAAATATTTTATGGATGAGTAAAACATATTTTTATAACCTTTTTTTTTTTATTTATTTATTTATAAGATATTTACGATTGTATAAAAAAAATACATCTGGTAAATTCGCACATGGATATAAAGACATGAAACACATGTTGAGAAACTACCCATTGGTAGCACTCTAATAATATGTCTATATTAGGAGATCGCGTGGCCATCTTCTTTTCAGACGCCTCGGAGGATTATCAGGAATTGAATAGGAAGCAAGGTTAGAAACAAGAGGGGTTGGGTTGGTTATGAAGTTTATTATAGAAGGACAGATATCTGGATTGGGCCAAATCTGATACATAAGGAACATTAAGGTCATTATGGATGATTTTATTTGTAACAAAGTAAGGAGCATTGAGGATTTTACGAAGGATTTTGGATTGTAAGGATTGGATGCGAGAGGAATTTGAAGGTTTGGTGGAGCCCCATAACTCAACTCCGTAAGTCCAAATAGGCCTTATTATAGTCATGTAAATTAGTCTTTTATAGTTAATTGGAAGGTTAGAGCGTTTGTCTAGTAAGTGTTGAAGTAGTCGGAAACGTCGAGCTGTTTCTTGTCGTTTCAGTCTGGTATGAGGATTCCAAGTTAGACGTTTGTCCAGATGGAGTCCTAGGTAACGAATTTGTTCGACAGAAATAAGTGAGATGTTGTTAAAGGATACTGAAGGACAGGAAGTCATTGGTTTACGACGAAGGGTGAAGGTAATTTGATGGGATTTATTTTAATTCTCCAGTTCTGACACCATTCTTCAAGGTTTGTGATGTGGGATTGAAGGGTTTGGGATGCAATAGATGGGTCGTTATTAACTGATAGGATACATGTGTCATCAGCATATGTGGTGATGACATTGTTGGGATGGGTTGGGATGTCAGCTGTATAAACTGTGTAAAGGATAGGACCAAGGATACTACCTTGATGAACACCTGCAGACTGGGAAAAGCGGGATGTATAGACATTGTTGTGATTTCCTTTAAAGTATCTATCAGTAAGGTAGGAACGGGTAATGAGGAAGTATGTAGATGGTAGGAATTTTCGGAGGTTGTACGGCAGTCCCGGGTGCCAAACTCTATCAAACGCCTGTTCAACGTCGAGAAAGACTCCCGTACAGTACATACCGCGCTCCAATGCAGAAGATACTACGTCTACCACACGATGGCATTGCTGTATAGTGGAATGGGAGGAGCGGAATCCAAATTGGTGATCTGGAATAATGTGATTAGAATTCAGGATGGGGTACAGGCGTTTTAAGATTAGTTTTCCAGGATTTTTCCCATGATGGGTAAAAGAGAGATGGGACGGTAAGAGGATGGATATTCTGGTGTCTTTTTGGGTTTATGGATCATTTTGACAATAGATATTTTCCAAGGATCAGGGAAATATGTGGATCGGAGTACAGCATTATATATGAAAGTGAGGAATAGGATGGCTTTTCGAGGAAGAAGTTTCAAGATCTGGAATGTTATTAGGTCATGTCCAGGAGCTTTGCGGGAGGGTAATCTGTGAATGATGTTGGATATTTCTGTGGGATGAAATGCTTTAGGTGGAAGGGACATTTGGAGAGGAGTATCCAGTTCTGATTCAATACATTCGATGTGGGTTGGATTAAGGATATCAGGATGCGGGTTGAAAATTTGGAACAGATGTTGACCGAATAATGGGCTTTTTCTTCGTCGGATTTGGACCAGGTTTGGGATTCAGTAAGAAGTGGGTGATTAAAGTCTTTAAACTTCAGAAGTTTTTTGGTTGCCGTCCATAGTGATTTGTCAGTTGTTGTAATATGTTCAGTTAGGTTCAGTAATTGTTGAGTTTATAACCTTAAATATTTTTACTGAAGTTTAATAACGTTAGATCCGATGATATATTTAAATAGTCAAGTATATATCATCGATTTATTTAAAAAAAATAATTAAGTTATATTTTAGAAAATTAAATTAGTTTTCCCCTGAAAAGTCAAAATATTATCCATTTACAATTAGTGTGGCGAATTTAGACCTATCAGTGGTAGGTAATGAAATGTTTATAACTTTATTTACGTATAATAAATAAAAAGTAAAATAATAGTACTAAAAGTAAATGTATTTAAACTATAAGAAACTAAAACAAACAAAAAGAAATTATACAAATCCAAATAACTACTAAAATACACACATGCTTTTATACAATATTTACAAAAATCATTCACTCATGATCTCCGAGCCAACTCGTTCCATGTTATTCTTCGGTCTAAGAGAAAGCCAAAATACAGGAATGTGTCTGAGTAAGGTAGCTGGATGGAATTAAAATGTATTGGTGTGAACAGAAATAGTGTCGGAGCGTAAAGGTAATATGTTTGCATTTTGATACATTCACTTTAATGTGCCATTTATTGCACCATTGTTCAATCAGGGAGAGGTCCCTTTGTAGATTAAAAGATGCTATTGGTATAGGCAATACACTTATGCATTTAGCCCCATTGTTCAGTTATTAACAATTAACATTTCATCCAAAAAAAAACCATAAAATATCCGCGATTTTATTTTTTTTTTTATTTATTTATTTATTTTTTACCATCATCTTACTAATTTAGTTAAATATGTTGTGTAAAAACATTGTGTGGTTTTTTATCCTGTTACCTAAAAATACCATTGTTTTCAGCAAAAATTACTACAATTAGTTGTTGCAAGAAGCTTTTATTTTTTTTTTTCCATGATCTGGGATGTTTTATAATACACATAGTTGTCTAAATACACTTTTTATTTATAGCTAACTAGGCTAAGTTCTGTATTAAAAAATCATAAATTATTCTCGATATCAATTGATCACCATCCAACTATACTATAGATACCCTGCTTTTAGAAAAAACTTCCTCGTTTAATAAGATTTCACTCCATATTAAATAAGTTAAGATTTATTAGGGGAAAACATTGAGATTCACGTGTTGTGTTATGTAATGATGAGATTTTTTTAGCCAGTCACCTAAAAGAACTCGTGTTTTCAGCAAAAATGACTTCAGTTAACTGTCGCAAAGCTTTCATTTCTTGTTTTTCCATGATTTGGATGTATTATAATAAACATAATTGCCTAAATACACTTTTTATTTATAACTTTTTTTATATTATAAAATAAGGCTCTGTTTATTTTTTCACCATATTTATTTTAATTTTCATTGCTACGTTTCGGCCGGTAAGCCATTCTGAAGCCATTTTATTCAACCATGCTTTTTGCATGTAGTCCAAAGTGACTCCAAAGAGCCTTTGGACTACATGCAAAAAGCATGGCTGAATAAAATGGCTTGAGAATGGCTTACCAGCCGAAATGTAGCTATGAAAATTGAAATAAATATGGTGGAAAAATAAACAGAGCCTTATTTTATAATATTAGAAAATTAAACCTAAAACAAGCACATATGGATTTTTTAAATATTTTTCATGTAAAGTGGTCATGAAACTGTCTTTTACCGATATCTCTATTATATGATTTGATTCGTATTTATAAATGACAAACTAAATGTTTCTAGTCCAAAAATTAAGGTTTAAAATTAAAAAAAAAACTTGCTGATTGTTTGAATTATTTTCATGAATACGTAAATATTAGAATCAGGAAGATTTAGTTGGTCACTGATAAATACAGATCAATTCCTACAATATACATCTGGTTAAGAAGCACATTTTCATAACCATTTAATCTTAAAAATATCATTATTTTAGAAAAAAAGAAATTAAAATGAGTATTTAGGTTATTATGTTTATTATAATACATCACAAATCATCCAAAAATAAGGAATAAAAATTTTGCAACATTTAATTATAGTCATGTTTGCTGAAAACAGGGGTACTTTTAGGTGACTAGTTAATAAACCTTCATTAGAAATATCGAAAATCCAAGTTTTGTGTTTTTTTAAGTAAGCCATGTTTTTTTTTTTTTAATGGGAATTGATAACTAACGAAATATTTAATTTAAGTAATTAACAATTGCTTCAATGTAAACTAGAAAAAAAATACTTCATATTAAAGCAGAGTTTTTCATTGTTAAAACCATAGGCGCCGACTACGGAGGAGCGAAAGAATCGATCGTCCCACCCCCAAAAAAATAACAATTTCTCTCTACTTAAGGGACACCCTGCATACCATCACATGGCAGGAGGTCGAAAATCTTGGGGAGATCCTGCCGTCTATTGATATGATACAGAAGGGGAAACATAAGGTTCGTCACAATATATTAATTCAATACTAACGATATAACAATTCTTTCTGCCATTAACAAAATATAACTTATTCCAAAAGTTGCTATGGATTATGCATTTCATATGAGAACCTCCTACATGGTTTTTAAGTCAAGTACATATTTGTGTATTAAAAAAAAAAATATATTACGAATACAAATATTTGATAAACATTATAAACAATCCAACACGCGGCCGACAGTGAAATGTACCAATGGAATATAGAAGTAAGTAATAGTTGTAAGAAGTATTGATATTTGGTGAGCTGCCTATATCCTTGAATTGTCCCAAGGATTCCTCCACTTTTGTCTGAATTGGTTTAGAATCTGATTATCTTGCTGTGGTATTGGGAATTACATTATAAAGATGGTTATAATACATGTAATTGTTAAAAGATTTTTCTTAATTTGAATAATCTTACCTCCCGGTGAACTGTAAGAAATCTTTTTTCAAGTAAATGTCCATACCAGTTATAGCTGACAGATGTGATTTCTAGAATGTTAAAAATACAGACATATGATTAATATGGGAACTGTTGTTTGAAGGTACTGTAAATTGTAGGAGATTATTATTAATATGCATAACAATTTACTGTTGTTTGAAGGTACTATAAATTGTAGGAGATTATTATTAATATGCAATGAATATATAATTGAAATATTTATTTAGTTACATTTAGATCCAGATACCTATCCTTCCACAATAAACTTCAGAATCATCCCAACTCTCTGATTTCTAGCCTTCCTTCCTCTTCAATTCCTGAAAACCCTCCGAGGCTATAATCGTCGTATAATGAAAAGATGGCCCCGTGATCTCCTAATGTAGACATATTATTATAGTGCTACCGGTGGGTAGTTTCTCAACAAATGTTTTCACGTCATTATATCCATATGTTCAAATTTACTAAATATATTTCTTTAATACAGTTTCGTAATTGCACTGCACTATTTTAGGAATGTGTTCACTAACACAAAATAAACAAAAAAGTTTTTTTTTTCTCTTATGCCAGTCGTTGGTCATTTGGCCATCCGACATCTTGCTGCCCAGTATAATTTAGATTTTCTAATATATATATTTGAAAAATAATTTAATAAATTTTGGTTGAAAAATAAATTAATCCTTAATTTTTTTTATTCGAAGGAAAATCTTAAAATGGAGGTCATTTTCAAAAACTCGGTTCCGGAAACATAAAAGTAGACCCCTATTTCGAATAAATTTCAAAAACTTAAATAAGTCGAAACGCAGTGGCGTAATCATAAAATGGAGGTCATTTTCAAAAAATTACGGTTCCGGAAACATAAAAGTAGACCCTTATATCGAATAAACTCGAAAATATTAAATAAGTTGTAAAGTAGTGGCGGAATCTTAAAATAGAGGTCATTTTCAAAATCTGAGGCTCCGGAAACATGAGAACAGAGATGGGCATATTTATATTCAAAAATATAAATACGAATACCATTTATATTTATGGTACAAATGAATATAAATACATTATTCGTATTTATATGAATATAAATATATTCGTATTCATAAAAATTAATATGAATACAGAAGATACGTATTCACGACTGTAAATATAAATACGGCCGTATTTACGACTGTAAAAGTGAATACGGCTGTATTTACACCTGTAAAAGTGAATACGGCAGTATTCAGGTTTAATAAAATGAATACGGTTAAATTTACAGAAGTGAATGCAAATATTTTCACACAACCTTATTAATGAATAATCTTATTTATTAAAAAAATGTATGTATTAAATTATTTATTTAAAATAATATATTTACTATATATATCATTTTATTTTATATAATAATATAATAATAATAAGGCTTAGCGAACCCGAAGGTTCGATGCCGACACCACCAATCGCTTGTTACACACCTCCCTCCACCGTTCGCCGTCCAAACCCAGTCCCTTCAGATCGGCTTTAATGCAATCTTCCCACCTTCGCTTCGGTCTACCCCTCGGACGCTTACCATTCGGCACAGCAAATATTAACCTTTTAGGAATTCTCTCGTTACTAAGCCCAACAACTTTACAAGCCCATTTGATTCGCCGCGATGAAATTCACCTCAATTATATTACCCGGATACAGCTCACGCAATTCGGCGTTGTGTAACCGTCTGAACTCTCCGGTTAACTCATCCTTCTTCGGTCCGAATATTCTACGCAATACTTTATTTTCAAAAACCTTAAGACGCTGCTCATCCCTTAATGTAAGCGGCCAAGTTTCGCATCCATAAAGAACTGTAGGCAAGATAATTGTTTTATAGATTCTAATTTTTAAGTTTCGGGACAAGAGGCGCGAACTAAGTAGTTTTGTCACAGAAAAATAACAAGCATTCCCCGCCTTCAGTCTAACCTTAATCTCTTCTTCAATTTCGTTTTTTCTAGTTATCGTAGAACCTAGATACCTAAATTTATCTACCTGTTCAAACATATTACCATCTATATCGATATCACCAGTAGTATCGCCATTTTTGCAGCTAACCATATATTTTGTTTTATCCACGTTTATTTCGAGTCCTAGTTCTTTACCGGCTTTCATTAACGTTGTCGTATTTAGTTTTATAGTTTCAACGTCTTCGCTTAACAGTACCAGATCATCAGCATAGCCCAGCACGGATGTTGTCCCGCCCAGATCCAACCCTTTCTCGGTTCGCATTACCTCCCTAATGGCATGTTCTAATGCCAAATTGAACAGGACAGGCGAAAGAGAATCCCCCTGTTTTAAGCCCGAACGAACCTCAAATTTTTCGGACAAATTATTACCGATTCTAACTTTATTGAGTGTCTCCGTCAAGCACATCCTGACTAGATTTACTAGTTTTTTTGGAATCCCCTGCTCGATTAGAATATTATACAGTTTCTGGCGGTCAATAGAATCGTAAGCCTTTTTAAAATCTATATACAGCTGGTGAACAATACCGTTATACTCCAATTTTTTCTCTAATATTTGCCGTAAAGAAAATATTTGATCAATAGTCGAACGATTCCGTCTAAATCCGCATTGGTAGTCTCCGATAATTTCCTCGGCGTATTCCGTGATTCGACTGGTTAAGATTAAAGTGAATATTTTATAACATACCGGAAGGAGTGAAATTCCTCGATAGTTATTACAATCCGTCCTCGGACCCTTTTTGTGAATCGGAATAAGAATAGATTCTTTCCATTCTTCAGGTAATTTCTCGTTCACCCAGATCTTTTTAACCAACCGATGTATTTTAGAAACTCCAGCTTCTCCGCATGCCTTAATTAGTTCAGTAGGAATATTATCGGTTCCCGCTGCTTTATAAGATTTTAATTTTCCGATAGCTACTTCAACTTCCTCTTTACTTGGTCCTTCTATTAACGGTTCAGCACTCTGGTACTCAGAAGGAGGACACAGATCATAATTTCCCGTATTTAAAATATTGTCAAAGTGGTCCTTAAACTTATTCAATATGTCAACCGGATCGGTCAGAATATTGTTATTATCATCCCTAATTCCAGTCGTTACGGGCCCTACATATTTACGTGATCTGTTTATACCTTTGTACATGTCTCTTACGTTATTTTCGATTCTATTAGTATTTTATTTTATATATAGTATTATATTCATCCTTTTACAATATGTTATTTTAATTATGTTACAAGGTATTATGTTATGTTAATTATCACTTGTAATGTTTGTACGTATTATAAATTCCCGAGCCTTTGTATTTACACTAGTAAAAGTGAATACGGCATTATTAACGTTTATTAAAATGAATACGCTTAAATTTACGGAAGTGAATGCAAATATTTTCACACAATCTTATTAATGAATACTCTTATTTATAAAAAAAAATGTATTTATTAAATTATTTATTTAAAAAAATTTCTATATAAACCATTTTATTTTTATATATAGTATTATATTCTTCGGGCTCAATAAAAATTCTGAGTAGATGGGAATATTGGAATTTCTTATAGAGCAGGTACTCTCGTGAAAAAAAAATTGAAAAAAAAATCCATATCATCCAGATTACAAGAGCCTGCTAAACAAACAGACTCAGTTTCGCTATCAACTTCATACATTGTTTTATATGCAAAACTTAACACATTAACAAATATATTCACACATTACACACTGAACGGCAGGTCCGGAAAGGTCACTATTCAAATTTGACAGCTCTTGCCCCTTTCCTTGCTTCAACTCTGTCGTGTACACGTATTTCCCGATGGATTTTCCAGGGTATCGTTCCGTGTGTTGTACCTACCCTGGCCGTCTATTAAACTTATCTTTATTACCATTAGGAGCCCATAAGTAAACAGTGCACCGAAAAGTCTGTACGTCTAGGATCATAAACGTAGGCTTTCCATTCTGGTACGGGAGACACCCCACCCTCTGGACCCAATAAAAAAAAAATGCTTGTGAATTTATATTACGTACAAACATTCCGAGTGATAACTAACATAATATATTGTAAAACGAAGAATATAATACTATAAATAAAAATAAAATGGAATATATAGTAAATATATTTTTTTATATAAACAATTTAATAAATATATTTTTTTGATAAATGAGATTTTGTAAAAATATCTGCATTCACTTCTATAAATTTAAGCGTATTCATTTTTATAAACGTGAATATTACCGTATTGTCTTTTGCTATAAATACAAAGGCTCGGCAATTTATATTACGTACAAACATTAAGAATGATAATTAACATAACATATTGTATAAGGTAGAATATAATACTATATATACAAATAAAATGATATATATAGTAAATATATTTTTAAAATAAATATATTTTTTTTAAATAAATAAGAGTATTCATTAATAAAGTTGTGTGGAAATACTTCCATTCACATCTGTAAATTCAAGGCTATTCGTTTTAGTAAACGTGAATACTGCCGTATTCACTTTTACAGGTGTAAATACAGCCGTATTCACTTTTACAATCGTGAATACGGCCATATTTATATTTACAGTCGTGAATATGTGATAATTAACATAACATAATACATTGCAACATAATTAACATAACATATTGTATAAGGTAGAATATAATACTATATATATAAATAAAATGATATATATAGTAAATATATTTTTAAAATAAATATATTTTTTTTAAATAAATAAGAGTATTCATTAATAAAGTTGTGTGGAAATATTTCCATTCATCTCTGTAAATTTAAGGCTATTCATTTTAGTAAATGTGAATACTGCCGTATTCACTTTATTTACATATGTAAATACAGCCCTATTCACTTTTACAATCGTGAATACGGCCATATTTATATTTACAGTCGTGAATATGTGATAATGAACATAACATAATACATTGAAACATAATTAACAAAACATATTGTAAAAGGGAGAATAATAGTACTATTTATAAATATAAAATGATATATATATAGCAAATCTTTTTTTTTTAATAAATAATTTAATAAATACATTTGTGTTTAATAAATAAGAGTATTCATTAATAAGATTTTGTGAAAATATTTGCATTCACTTCTGTAAATTTAATCGTATTCATTTTAGTAAACCTGAATACTGCCGTATTCACTTTAACAGGTGTAAATACTGCCGTATTCACTTTTACAGTCGTAAATACGGCCGTATTTATATTTACAGTCGTGAATACGTATCTTCTGTATTCATATTACTTTTTATGAATACGAATATATTCGTATTTATATTCATTTGTACCATATATATAAATGGTATTCGTATTTATATCTTTGAATATAAATATGCCCATCTCTGCATGAGAATACACCCTTATATGGAATAAATCCGAAAAACTTAAATAAGTCGAAACGCAGTGGCGTATCATAAAATGGAAATCATTTTCAAAATTTAGGTCCTGGAAACATATGAAGCAGACCCTAATATCGAATAAATTCGAAGAACTTAAATAAATCGAAACGGAGTGGTGTAATCTTAAAATGAATGTTGTTTTTAAAAACTATTCATTCGATAATTGGCCCATACATCGAAAAATTAAAATTAATTAAATAAATAAAAAAACGTGGAATTTGAAATGGAAAATGTTTAATTTGAAATGGAAAAGGTCGAATTTGACTTGGAAAAAGTTTAATTTGATTTGAAAAAGGTTTAATTTGACTTGGAAAAGGTTGAAATTGACTTGAAAATGCTTTAGTTTGATCCAAGAAATCCCATTTCCCTATATTTTATGTTTTAGAAGTAAAACCTCTTATCAGTTAAGTATAAGTAGTAGTGAATATAAAACACTGTTCAGGGAACAAGGAAGGTACCTTTATCTCTCCACCAATTGCCGTCTCATTGAAGGAGGTTGTAAGGAATGGGAGCTTGAAGGAAAGGATTCTGATCTCATAGAACATATAGCGAGGCATAAAAAAGTTTTAAAGAATGGCTATGCATACCACACTAAGCATCCGTAATCCGTCGGGAAAAATAAGGCAGGATACCAGAAAATGACGGGTACCTCAGGGAAATGAATCACGGAATCTTAAGATGTGTTTAAGGATAGAGATGGATTTAGAATTATAAATGCTTAACGTACAAACATATAATAAGAAGGTAACTTACAACGCATGGCGTGCGAATGATTCCTGTTTTGATTTTAAAAGCAGCTGATGTTATATCTGGAAAGGTCAAAACTTGAGGTGAGTCGGCTGTGCATTGCGGGTCTTCAAAGTATTGCTGGTTTTCTTCGGTCTGTTCCCCCTGGACATAATTATCAGTTTGTTTTATGAACTTTTAGATTTATTTTATTTTAGATACAATCGAGAAAGATTAATATTTTAATAATTAACATAATAAAGTTTAATTATTAAAATATCAACCTTAATAATTTTTATTTATTTGTTTTCGGGGATAGCCCCATATAAATAGAACTACCTTAAATCCTTAGTTTAGAAATACTTGAAAAGAAAAAAAAATCAAATATAAGGTTGCATAAAGATTTTTATTTATTTATTTTTTCAGTAATATAATAATTTGTCACACACACAATAATTACAGCGAGGTATAAACACATACACACCATGTATACATAAATCTCTCTCTCTCTCTCTCTCTCTCTCTCTCTCTCTCTCTCTCTCAAAAGGCTTGCCTCAAGCGATTCCTGACTGCGGACCGGTCGAGTGCGCCATGAAGATTCAATGTTCTTGCAATTAATCTTCTCCCCCTCTCCCTTGCACTTAATTTATTTTATTTAATTTCGTTATATTCATTCCGGTTCTTGAATCTCCGGATCAACCCATAATCTCTCTCATTTTCTTTTCTCTCTCTTTCTTACTTCTTTTACATACTTCATTTTTTATTTTAAACTACTAACACTTATACTAACCTTGATATATAAAAAAATGACTAACATCAAAATCAAATTGTAAAAATTGTTATAAATAATGAACATTGTATATTGTATATTCTATTGAAAAATGTTAATTCTAAAATGTCACTTCATTCCTGTGTTTAAGAAATGGCCCTAGGCCTTAAGACAATAAAAGATCAATCTATCACCCAATCACTCTCTCTTTCAAATTTGCACCAGAATATTAGAATTTGAATCAGAAACTGGAGATACAAAACTCGCAAAAGTGCCGTGCTAGGAACAGGGTCTCATGTCCTATCGAATTTTGTATTGAAACTTATGCCAATAATTAGTAGCTAGTGAGCAGAGATGGGAAATTCAGACTACAGGTCTGAAAGGAACGGAATTTCAATTCTCGTTCCGTCCCATCTTCGTTCCAAACAACAGTTGAAACGAGACAGAGAATAATGAAGCAAATGTGCCTAGTACTAAAACTATTTAAAATGTCAGAAAAATCACTAGAGTAGAGGAAAATGAAGATAAACGGAGAAGAGTACTGAAAAATAAAGGAAAAAAAACAAACTGGACGTTTTAGGAATATAGATGAGCGCCCGAGAGCAACATTCTCTGAAAGGAACACCTGAATCAAAGACAATGATTGAATTAAACAGGTATTTAGAAAAGAATATTTTATACAACCAGGATCCTATTAAGTGGTGGTTTGGTCTGCAAAATAACTAAGCTAATTTATACATGATTGCAAACAAAGAGTATAGTCGCCACTTCGGTTCCATTTCAACGAATCTTTTCAAAAGCTGGCATGTTGATTAACAAATGTATGACTCCACTATCAGCTGGTAAAGTAAAAATTGCTGTTTTAAAATTCAATTTTTTAATTAATTTATGTATAGGTTTTTCCGTTTCGTTTTTTTAATTTCAGATTCTAAATTGTATATTATAGATTCGTTTGTTTCTATCTTTATTTATTTAAATGTAATTCTCAAATAAAACTATTTATGGTTGGTAAAATTCATATATTTGTATTCTTTTTTCTTAAATATTCCCTTATTCCAAGTTATAGCAAAATATTAATGAGTAAAAATCCATTCCTGTTTTATATTTTACTTTATTATTATAGTTCTGCGCATGCGCCTGATTTGAATACCCACATTTCACGTCGTGTCCCACAGTTTTACTATTTTTTAGTAGAATAAGTGCTCAGTTTTACTTTTTTTAAAAAAAACTAGTTAAGCAGACATCAAAACAACAACAATGGACTAACACCACAGTGAGTAGTGTTGTTATTTACTGTGTACTATTACAGACAGTGAATTTAGTGATTTAGCGTCTATAGGCTTAATCTCTATAGCCATAACAGCTGACGGCTCCCCTCTCCAGTTGTGGCTGAGCCACGTAACTGGCTGGTTCTCAGCCGGTGGTTCATCCATTGTAATAACACGCAGACGTAGTTTTATTTATTTATTTTTTTTTTTTCCCTTTCTTTTTTTTTATATGCGATATTACCACCAAGTAATGTCAACTAAGAGGTCCCATTCAGTTGGCTCTACCCCACGTAATTCACCGCCTAAACAGAAAACACGTCGTAGTAAGCGATTAACACCCCCCGGAACTCCTCCAGCGAACACTCAAGAATCTGTGTCTCAACCACTGCCAAGTACGTCTTCACAAGAAATGGAATCTCCATTTTTTACACCTAATCCATACCAGGTGCTTGAAAATGACAGGGAAGAAATGGAAGATGCACCTATACCTCGAGAACCACGCCCACCTCCTATCTTTGTCAAAAATTTGAGAAATTTTCAATTGTTGTGTACTCAACTTAATAAAATCTGCCCAGGTAGCTATACATGCCTAAACAGAATAAATGATACAAAAATAATACCGGCCACACCTGAAGCGTACCGAAAAATCGTAAAATATTTAACAGACACAAATGCGGACTTTCACACATACCAGTTGAAACAGGAAAGAGCACTACGAGTTGTAATAAGAAATTTACACTCCTCAACCCCAATAGAAGTGATTAAAGAAGAGTTAACGGCGTTAGGGTTCAAAATACGTCAGATAACCAATGTTTTAAAAGAAAATAAAGAACAACCAGGTGTAAAGAATAAAATCCCATTGCCCTTATTTTTCGTCGATCTAGAGCCATCGCCTGGGATCGAAAAAATATACGATGTGAATAGAATTTTCTACACCAGCGTAAAGGTCGAAAAACCGTACCCAAAAAGAGAGTTCATCCAGTGCCATAATTGCCAAGCATATGGCCACACCAAGTCTTATTGCCACCACTTACCACGCTGCGTGAAATGTGGTAAAACACACAAGTCTGGCGAGTGTAATAAACCAATTACAGAACCAGCAGTCTGTGCCCTATGCCTGGAAGGCCATCCAGCCAACTACAAAGGCTGCCAAATTTATAAAAATCTTAAAGCGAGATATATGAAACCCAGGGACCCTGATGATACACCTAAACCAAGAAGAGGACCCGCTAAAATTGTGAACTCTAAGGTTTCTTTTGCCAAGCTACTTGGGGGTAGAGACCTGACTAATGTATGTGAGGCCCTGCCGCAAGAACAAACTCAACCCCAATCTCAATATCCTATCCCACCTAATGTACCTAATCAACAACAACCTCACCAACATCAAATCCAATATGTTCCTCCACCGCCTAATGCTACAGATCTAACCAGCTTATTGACATCCTTTCTTTCAGAATTTAAATCCCTTGTTACCCCACTGATATCACTTCTCACTAACCTAGTATCTCACCTTATCCCTCCTTTAAAAAATCCTTAAATGACTTCCATCAAACCCATATCCATTCTCCTTTGGAATGCGAATGGTGTTAGAAATCACATACACGAACTAACAGCCTTACTACAAGACAAGAACGTAGACGTAGCCTTAATAACGGAAACTCGACTGACTAAAAAACAGCTCCTAAAAATACCACAATACATAACTTACCGTACCGACCATCCTGACGGTAGAGCACATGCCGGTACTGCAGTCATTGTGCACCAATCCCTCTCCCATCACCTACTCCCACTGCCTACACACGATTTCCTACAATCCACCGCAGTCGTAATCAAAACCTTCTCCTTTCCTATTACCGTTGCATCAGCGTATTGCCCTCCAAACCAATCCATCTCCAATATCCAATTTAGTTCCTTCCTCATTTCCTTAGGACATCATTTCATCTTGGGTGCAGACTTAAACGCCAAGCATCAACAATGGGGTTCAAGAACCACGAATTCTCGTGGTCGAACATTGCTGTCTGTACTCAATTCCCAAAATTTTACCCTTCTTCCACCCAACTCACCTACCTACTGGCCCACTGATCCTAACCGTAATCCCGATATCCTCGATTTCTTTATCCATAATGGTTTAGGTGCTCTCAACCATTCCGTTGCCCGTCTTGACGAGCTTTCCTCAGACCACAGCCCATTAATACTCCAAGTATCACTAGCTCCTATTCCTAAACCCTCTCCTCCGTCCTTCATCAGAGGCCCAGTTAACTGGAAACTCTTTCATCAAATCCTCTCCGATAAAATTGACCTCAGAGTAACCCTGAAAACCTCTGAAGACCTGGACAATGCAGTACATTCCTTCACTACCAAAATTCAAGAAGCAGTCTGGACTGCTTCCTCCCCTGATCACTCCTCAAAAATCCTTAAGAAACATAATTTACCTCAACACCTCCTTGACCTAATCCACATAAAACGCCGTGCCAGATTATTATGGCAACGTACCAGACATCCAGCCGACCGCCACTCCTACAATTATCACTGTAAAAAATTAAAAAAAGAATTAGCCACCTTCAGATCCCAATCATTCAATTCCTACCTCACCACACTCTCTGCTCATGATAATTCCCTTTGGAATATCACCAGAAAAATCCTCAAATCCCATCATATTTCCCACCCTCTTCGACGAGATGATGGCTCCTGGGCAGCATCTGATGAAGATAAAGCCGAGGAATTTGCCAAACACCTTTCCTATACTTTCGCTCCTCATCCAGAATCCCATCCCAGCCACACAGTAAAAGTAGAAGAATCCCTCTCAATACCTATCCCACTCTCCTTACCACCTAAAGCTGTTAATCCCTCTGAGGTCAAATACCTTTTACGGAAAATCACACCTCGCAAATCTCCTGGATATGACCTTCTAACCCCACAGATCCTTCGACAACTTCCATCTAAAGCCATCATATTTCTTACATATATATACAATTGCATCCTAAGAACTACCCACTTCCCTCTTTTATGGAAACATTCCACCATCGTCCTCTTCCTGAAACCAGGCAAACCTTCCAACAATACAGCATCCTATAGACCAATTAGCCTACTCCCAATCCTCTCAAAAATTTTTGAAAAGATCCTACTGA